TAAGATAGGCGCGCGCTTATTCTGGAATAAATTCGAAAAACTGTGACAACTAGTCAGGTGTCTAGCTTATCAGAAGCATGGCAAATGGGTTATCATACATTCACACAAGATTTCCCTATTTGTACTAGAGACACACACAGTCGTTCAGGTGATCATCACACATCCGACTGCTGACCGAACACATGAATGGGGCAATGGTTTACACACTAGGTATTCTTAGATAGCCAATAGCGTATTGCAAGCATCAGTCATCCTAGGTGTTAGATGTACTACCAGTAGTATCCAGGGTCTGGTCCCACATGTATAAATACTAGAGCAATACAGCATAGTATGGCAGTTTGTTCTTATTGAAACTACTACCATCTACTTTATCCTATTCATCCTCTGAGTTAACCACTCTCAAGACAAGCCCTCCAGTTTACCTCTTGAAACTACCAGCACATCACAAGTGAGTACTGGGGTTAGGGTTTAGAGTAGGGTCAAGGGCAATACCTTGACACATTGCCCTCACCCAGCACACCAGGTTTAGTTGGATTTATCCTCCACGTCCTCCCGTGAACTTTCTACCACATTGTCCGCGCTCTGATCGCTCCCAGTCGACGCCGCTATCGTCGCAGTAATAAACGTCCCACCATACACAGGTGCGCCCATATCCATGAATGCATTCATCCTCCCATACGTCAGGAGCGCCGCCGGCTGCGATGAGCCCGCTGCTGTAGCTATATCCACGTGGGCCCTCTCACCAGCGCCGGCGGTCGTGTGAATCCCGGATGTGAGTGTGAAGTCGGGATATTCCTCTAGTGATGCGGATGATTCACTGGCGGGTGCGGGCGAGCCGGCATCATGAACTTGGCGCAGATCGAGTAGAAAGCGCGAAGTGAGAACTGCAGGGAGACTGCGGTGGGTCAGCAGGGCAATTGAGGTAGACAAGGAGGAGAAAAAGGAAGTAGAGACGCACGGGATTAGAAATATAGAAACGTAGACAACATTCTTCAACAGACATACAATGAGTCACGTCTGCAGGCGAGAGCGAGGGAAGGACATACGCTGTGCATGAAGACGACCGCGGTCAGCATCTGGATTATATTTAGCGTCAGGAGTGCGCTGTGCACCAGCATCAGACATATCTTGTTCCGTGTGAGCGAGTCACGTCGTTCCAGACTCACAGAAAGTAGATTGTGCCTAGCATACGCAGCGATGAGTGGGTAGGGCATTCATCACGTCATGATGCGGGACACACCATCTCGTAAAAGGAGAGTTGCAACGGACGATTTTAAGTGTGCACGATCTGCATCCTTTTTGATGGAATATGTTTTCCACCAGGTGACGAGAAGCACGATAGCATCAGAGGCAATCGCACATGTGCGCGTGGCGACCGTGACTGAGATACGTTAGCAAGAAGTCAACACTCCAACACTCGATGTCTAGATTGCCACAGACGCCTAATGAGTCATGTAAGACGGGAGATTCTATGAGAAATTAAGGAAAACGGACGGACACGTTTGTAGTGGGTTGAATTCGAATAAAACTGCGTGAACGTGCATACAGGTAAATCTCCCACGAACTCGACGAACGGACGGGATGTTCTGATTGCGCTGAACTTGAGAAGGAAAATTGTCAAGCGAGGTCTTGAATTCAACAGGGAGGTAGGAAAATCACCATGTTGGTGGCTAGGGGCACGAGGCCCAACATGAGGGTAAGCATGGCTAAAAGCCAATTGCCGTCGCTCACGGCATACACCCGCAAAGATGAGAATACTGGCCATGTAGGTTAGTAATTATATCTCGAGCTAACAGAGCACGACGTACGAGGAATGATACCATACAACGCGAGAGAGGTAATATCGTAAAGATATATAACAGCCGCACACCTACATGCGGGCACTTTGTCAATTTCATCACACTTTCTGCGCGGATATATACGCGCACCCCTGAAGGATGAATATGAGAGGGTATTGAATGAGATCGGAGAGAAACGTACGGCGTCTGTAGACCAAGCAAACGTGCCGAGAATTGCAACGATGCCAAAGGCAAAGACAACATAACGGTTGAGGAAGAAGATGATGATAGCGCTGGTCGGCTTGCGTCCCCAGATGAGCTGTATCTCCTGGCCCAGCGTAATGGCGTAGTCATAAAATATTATGCCTGCCGAATGTATCGCGTTAGAGAATATGAGTAAGAGCGCGCGAGCACTCACTGGCAACGGCAAGTTCACAGTAGTTCGAGATATAGCTGTGGGTTCGAGTGAGCGTTGATGAACAAAACTACGTGGGGTGCTCACTTTGCCCGAAGGAGGCTTATGATGACTTTTTGCATAGAATCTGGATCGGAAGACGACGACATGACAAGGAAGACTGCAGCTGAGCCCGGTGGGCCTCATCACGCGAGGGAGGAGAAGCGCGGTCGGACACGCATGAACTCTGGGCAGGAGGTGAGTATTAAGGGGCTTGTCAAGGAGCGTTGGCACACACCTGACCGTTAGGGCGATCGCAAGGCCGAGATCATTAAAGGACAGGGGGTGGCGGCACTTTGTTCCTGTGCTGCCTTGACGCCGACTGGTCCCATCGTAGCCCCCATGGCCGGTGGGACCTGCGACTAGTGTGAAAGAGAAAAGACTATCAACGCCATCGTGTTTTGCGCCGCAGCATATACGCGCCATGTAGCTTGGGCGTCCAGTCCAGACAGGTTGCTGATCCGACCAGCTGCGATAATGAGCGTCCAAAATTCGTCCTCTAGCCGCCAAGCAGCGCACACGGGTCAAACCGGGGCTGCTTGAGCGCGTTTTGCAACGACGCTTATTCTCGTCAAAGCTCCGATCTGGAAATGCGAGTAAAGGGGTAAAGAGATGGTGGCGGTCGCAGGATCAGGATTTACACTGCGAAAAATTGGGACGAGCGGATGGTGCAGAGAGCGGATGATCCTGAACAGGCAAATTGCGTCGTCGTGTCGTCGCGCGCGCGTCGGCATTTGCCTGTTATACCTTTTTGACAGTGCCTTGAAATATCTACCTGGCACAATTCAGTGGTTGGTAGAGACCGGCCGTCATGGAAAGATACCGCGGAGTCCTTCACTTCACGCCGTTTCTGTTCAAAATTCCGCCTACAGTGTACTTCAACGTCAGTAGTCGCTATAGCTCTTCCCCACTTCTGATCTTGTTAGATAGTTCAGAGCCACCCACAGATAAACTTGCTAAGCTTGTCCAGCAGGTCATCTAGCGCCCATGTGCTAGTCCATGGAAGTGAGTCGATTCGGAGGTATGTCTCCAGCATGCTACTAACATCAAAGTCTTGCCCACCCGACATTCCTTCGGAAATGGGATTTGAGTCGCAGTAGCATCTTGCAAGTCATTTTACATGGACACAATTTCGAACGTCTTGGTTTGGCCTTGCCAAACGAAAGATATCTTTGCTTCAAATTCGCTGCATCGCTCTTTCTGCGAGTCTCAAACCTGTCATTGATGCAGTGAGTGAAACGTTCTCGTGTACCAACCCGAGCGCGAAGTACTCCTTAGGAGCGTGAGGGGGCGTGCCGGTGTAGCAGCCCTCAACCTCCCACTCTTCAACGCTGCGCACGGGGCAACTATCAAGAATCTTCATGTCAGAAGGGTTCTCCTCCACGATAACAGTGCGCAAAGGCGTTGATATACATGCACCCACGTCACTCGGCGGCTTACTGCTTATGGCGAGCCTCAAAATCACTGCATCGGCGTCGACGTCGGCGCTTGGTGCTGATAGCACTGTCCTTTCGCCTTCGTCATCAACATGTCGCCTGTTGTCTTTGGTCTAATACCGCATCATACCACATCACAGTGAACAACTCTAGATGCGTAGCAGCGTACTCTGAGATCGACTCGAAAAAACTCGCCTTTCTCTGCGAAACGAGAACCGCACAGGACTCGTTTGCAGCTTTTGCCAAGAGTTTCCGGGCGCTGCTCGTGCGCGGACGCAATTGACCACATTTCGAGCCGAAGTATATCTGGTCACAGAGTAGGAACATCGATAGAGGCTTTCGGAGCGTGACGAGCTCGCGCTCGAGCTCGGACAACGGGCAATGGGAGTACTAGAAACCACCCTAACCAGCGTCGGAGCACCACCCTCGCGAATTCTCCCTGTGCAGCCGGGGTATTTCATATCTTGCAGGAGCATGCCGCAGAGTCTCTTTAGAGCCCGGGGACGCATTCGAACCTATGCGCGCGTGGGCGTACCCCCGCCTCAGCTGCACGCACTCCACCGCTAGCTGGTAGTCGCAACACGCAGACTACACCGATGGCTGAGCACGAACCTTCCGGGCGAACGCTATTCTCGGACTGTCCCAGGCTCGGACGGAGGTCTTGGCTGCCAGACCAGGTTCTCCTCGCCAAGTCGGTCTTCAGGACTTGGCGTGCAAGAGGTATCCTCCCATTCGCAGGTGTGAGGTAAAGAGATCCTTGACTTGGTGTATGTGCGCGGGCATCCGCCTGGTGCTTGTGAGCGCATAGCCCCGCTGTGCATCAGGAGGCAACCCACGAGACCTTCTGCTCGAGCCTGTTCGCAGCTGACGCCTATCTCACCGATCCCACATCGATTCCATATACTCCCGGTTTCAACGGCATGCATTGTGTATTCGCTAACAAACATAGTGGGGTAATACAGTACAGGCTCAAGGGTACACGTACATGTTGTGATCTACAGGAAGAATGCTTGCAACCGTGACGATGATCAGGATAGATGGAGAGAATGAGACAAAGATGCGCGCCGTCACGCACAGACACAGCCCGCCCCGCTGCACCCGAGGGTTATTATACCACACTCGAGAGAGACAAAAATATCCTCACAGTCGTCCCGGCACCTGCCCAATTGCGCGCTCACCCACCTCGCGCCACCACGCGTCCGCGACCTGGTCTGCATCATACCCAAACTGCGCCTCGTTCTTCTTGCGGTCCGCCCACTGATTCGGGTTCCCCTCCATCGATTCGCTATCCGCGCCCGCCACAGGACTGTCCCCCGCGCGCTCGCGCTCAAGCATGGCAAGCTCAACTTCCATTGCCTTGCGCATCTGGAAGTCGCGTGCCTCCTGCTCGGGCCCGTCCGGGAGGTGGAAGATCGTCTGATTCAGCCGGGACGACGCCTGTGTCGCGGACGCACGTGGGAGACGCAAGTCTTCGTAGGCCTGCAGCAGCGGTCGCAGTTGTGCAGGCGAAGACAACCGCGAGAGCAGGTTTCCGAGCACGGCAGCGTCCTCAATAGCCATCGCCGCGCCTTGGGCGCGGTATGGCTGAAAGACGCGGGATGGGTACGTCAGCAAGCGCGCCTGAGCGGGGTAAGGCACCGAGGACTCACGAGCATGGGGTGACAGGCGTCCCCGAGCAGCGCGACGTGCCCGGAGGGATGGATCCACCGCTCGAGCGGCTGTCTGTCCATGAGACGCCACTTGAGCGTAGACTTGACCATGGCGAGCATCTTCTGTACTCTGCAGAGGTCTCAGAACGCTGAGGGGAGGGGAAGAGTGGGTGCGTACCGGGGCTCAAAGTCGGCAAAGTCGGCGCGCATCTTCTCGGCGCTGCCCTCAGCTGACCAGGACTCGACAGAGCCGTCGTCCGGGTGCAGCATGACCAGATTCATCTCCTGTTTCGCGCGCTGGGCGAACAAGAACACGGACGTGAGTGCGAGTGCGTGTGCGCGAAGCGCGGTGTGAGAGGGGTACTCACGACATTGTACCCCATAATGTGCCGCCCCGGGCCCATCCAACCCGTCATTTCTGGCGTGTCCACGAGCTCCTTCAACTCCGGGTCGGCCATCATCAGCTGAGTGGGGATGAGAGCGCGGTACGCGGCGTCGCCCGTCGGCTGTGCGGGGTTGACGCGGCCGAGGACGACCTGCTGAATGTAGCTCTTGACGCCGTCCGCGCCGATGACGAGGTCGCCGTGAATGACCTCACCCGAGGCCAGGGTGAGTGAAGGTGCATCAGGATCGCATGCAACGACGGTGGAGTTGAGACGGAGAGTCATATGAGGGGCGGCAAGGTCGAAGAGGAGCTTGTGGAAGTCTGCGCGGTGAATGTGATAGTAGGGTGCGCCAAAGGCATCCATTTTCTCTGCCCAGCGGGTGTAGGCGACGCGCTCGCCATTGCTGTATCTGCGGAAGACGAGGGCATGGGGCTTGACGGCAATCTGGTCGAGTTTGTCGCCGAGGCCCCAGCGGTAGAGGAGACGGGTGACGTTGGGAGAGACCTGGATGCCTGCGCCGACCTCGCCGATTGCGGGGGCGGACTCGAAGAGGGTGATGCGGTGGCCAGCCTGAGCGAGACAGTGGGCGGCTGCGAGACCGCCGAGGCCGCAGCCGACGATGAGGATGTGGAGCTGATGAGAGGCTTTGCGGGGAGACATTGGGGGGAGGGGAGGAATGAAGGAGGACGAGGACGAGGGTGGGGGAGATATTATAAAGGAGGAGGGATAAAGGATTGGCCCCGCATGTATGGTATAGCCCGGCGTAGAGGGAGTCGGCGCTAGCAGCCACTGATGGCGTCCCCGCGGATTCTGGGATCGGACGCAGTCGCATGCAGGGGTCCGCCCGGCTTTGCCTTCGCCTTTCCCGATCGTCCACCGTCCACGTCCGCGGGCGCTGCCCCGCCCACCTAGCTCGTTGTCGTTGTCGTTGTCGTTGTCGTTGTCGTTGTCGTTGTCGTTGTCGTCGTCGTTGTCCGCATCGACCCCCGCTGGTCGATGAGCGATGCCATGCCGAAGGTTAGGGTTTGGGCCCTGAAGACGTTTAAACGATGAAACGGGTCTTCTATCAGGGCAGCAGCCGTCTGCCTGCTACTGCACGGCCAAGCGCCCAGCGCACGTGAAACAGCCTTGATCAAATCCGGCATTTGCCCCTGCTCCGCTCCCCTCCTCCCGTCTCGTTCGCCGACAACGTCGGACCAGGATCGGCCCCGACTCTTTGAATGCTTCATATATCCTGCTCCTGTCGGCGTATCAAGTCGCCTCGTACAAGCCGCCGGGTCCTTGCCTCCTTCTGTCTTGCTATATCCAACGGCTGAACGTTTCTTGCTCCCGCCAATACATTCAGCTGCCGTGTGGCCCTGCTTCTCGGCATTTGCGTTTAACCTGCTGCTACAGCCCAGGTGCTCGTCTTCGTGCCTCGCCTCTGCTTCTCTCGCCTGGCTGCTCGCTGTTCGGCTGCGAGAGCGGCCCACCATCCCGAGCGGCTGCTGGTACATACCAGACGACCACTTTCACCGTACCGTGCTGGCAATCATCGCCAGTCGCGTCACGCACCTGGGAAATGACACCACGCTCTCAAGCCCTGGGTCCCCATGCGGCTTCACTTTTGCGGGACCGTGAGTCGAACGCACCCACGGCAGCTTTCTCCGACCAATGGCTACTGCCGCCTCTGCGCCACTATCCACAGTTGGGGCGTATCTGATACGTCAAGCCCTCAGTCGGACCCCTTGCTAGTTATGTACTGCCTGTGGACGCGTCAATTCGATCTGGGCCATGCTATCTTCTCTTTGAGTTCTCGTTATATGGCACATGCTCAGCAACAACGTGCCTCGCCGAGTACATCTCCGTGGGATACATGTAGCGCTCCTACTACAGCAGATCATGTCTCCCGCGGATAATGGACTGCTCGCAAGGGTCACAAAGCTGCTTCCATGGCCTAGATAAGTCCATGTTGGCACGCATATATGCATGCTCATACACGACTGATTCCTTCCCAGCAAGCAGTGCAGCCATGCCCCCAAAGCACTTGTACAGGGGGATGCCCTTCGTCACTGTGCCAGCTGAATTCAAGCTCACATTCATTTTGCCGCTCCCGCTATCAGGGCATGTGCCTTCACCTCGGTCGAGACTACCACACGGCCACACGGCCACCGAATGATAGACAGATGCAACTCCACTATTTCACTCCCATCAAGCGGTCATTTAGTGCGTGCCACGAAAACGGATCCGACTTACCGGAAGTCGTGTTGTCCCATCACTCCCTGCCATAAAACGGCTTACTGACAGACCACTTGTCCGAATTGGACCGGCCTCGCTTCACGGCCTTACGAGCTGTGGCGGAGAATGGGCGCGCGTCGTGCATGTAGTGCGAACAAGGGTATTTAATCATCCGCCCCCGCCGGGGAAGAATCCTCCGTCTGCAATCAAATTGAGGACGCCTGTGCGCCTCGGTCAAGCTGAATACTAGTATCATCAAAACGGTTAGATTGGTCGGCCGAGGCCAATTGATGCATGATGTAGTCGGGGCGAAAGCGGATTGGCGCAGAGCGAGATTGAAGCGTGCTTTATATACTTGCACCATGCAAAGCTGAACAGAAGGCGATCATGAGCTGACGTCACCGGCCGGGGTGCGATCGATCTCAGATCTGGTAATCGAAGCCAGAAAAGGCACGTGATGGGACCAGGATGGACTTGGCAATGGAATTGGATGGTTCGCTACGCACCAATCAGCCCTCACCAATTCTTCATAATAATAACCAAAAGGATTCATGAAACCATCGTCAGCTTACCTAGGAAGTAATTGTGACCTAGCCTGGTACATCCTGGCAGCATTGTACTACATCCTGTAGAAGCAACGAAACATTACGGTACACGCAAACACAGATTGCCATAAGTACGGAAACATCTCTGTGCGATCAAGTAACTCTCCATTGCCAGAAAGGACCTGTGAGACGGGGTGCCGGTGAGCCACAGGCCTGATGCGCAGGGAACGCGATGCTTACCCAAGGGGTCGGCGCTCTCGTGTCGCGCACCGGTCCACATGCCCAAGAATCCCGCATCCGAGCGCACGCCGCCCAGTTGCACGCCTTCCGAGATCCACTCATCCGTGCTGGCGTCGTCCGTATCAGTCGAGTACTGAAAAAGCCTTCGTCAGACAACTCGGTGCTAGGCGGCAGGAGACTTGCCATTACCAAAGACCAGCGAACGTGCCCATCAGAGAGCATGCTCACTGACCCGTGTACCTTCCTCACGTCATCCTCTATGTTGTCGGGAACACCCTGCCAATGCGCACCACCGATATCGCCCTCCACCTTGATAGTGGGACGGTCGGGGTACCCGGGCACAGCAGGGGGTTCATAGCCCACTATGCGGAGACGCACTGGGACGACGAGGAAATACGTCTCTACGCTGTCCCGGTCGAACAAGCCGTTCGTCTACAGTCGGAGATCAGCGCACAATATGAATTCCATGCTTGGGAGATTCCTCACGTTGCAGTCTACAGGGACCATGTCGTCGTGCCCAAGTTTAGACCATGCATGAGCGAAATATCCGAGACTACGTACACATCAAGTCATCATAGCTGAGCCAGCATACGCAGCGTCTAACCACGAACATGAGCTGAGCGCGAGTTGGATCAGGATGCGCGCCTACCTCCAGACGCCCTCAGCGCCAGCCCAATCCCAGCCATCGATTGAACCGTCGAGGTCTGCTTTCTCCTTCCCCTTGCCTTTTTCTTTGGCCATCCCAGTGTCTTCTTCATCTCTGGCTTTATTCTGTGTGCTGCCCACAACCCAACCTTGTTCTCTCCACGAATTCCATGTTATAAACGCATCCAAGTCGGTCAAAAAGTTCATGCGCTGCACTCCTTCCACTATCACTCGAGCGGCAGCAAGCCATGTCCAGTCCGGGATGAGCTGGTCCGGTGTAGGTAAAATGGGCTTCCTACGTCGGACATACTCTGGCCTGCGCTCTTTCCCTGCGACGGGAGAGTATTCGCGAGGTGATGACGGCGCGGCAGGGTCGTCTGGGGGCTCATAATCTGGATCATCTTCCGAATCATAGTCAGAATCAACGGAGACGTCATCGATCGTCACAGTCGGAAACTCGACCTCTTCGGCAGGAGACACCGGAAGATACGGACCCCAGTGCCGACGCCGAGTTAGATACAGCATTTTGTACACCATCTCCATCGCTCTGTCAAACGCTCGCTTCTCCTGCGCTTCCAGGCTCATGTCCAAGCCTGACAGTCCAGAGATGCCTTCGTCGGCGTGGGACGTGCCAGTAGAAGAGGCGAGTCGCCCGGTGCGCTCCTCGTGAAGCTCCCGCACAGGCTGGAAGCCCGCGCACGCGACAAATTCGCCTACCAGCTGCGCCTCTGGGGTGTGATCCCAGCCTTTGTGACGAGCACTACCCGCAAGCTTTGCAACAACGGAGGCGGGAAACCCGCGCTTGAGCACAGACTGCATCCAGGAGATGTTGCGCGACGGCCTCGGAGACATAAGCCGCGTGGGGTATCCAGGAGTGTTGTGGGATACATAGCTGAGAGAGCGGCCCTGGACGTCGATGTCGCCGCTACTAGTATCCGGACCTTCAGCACTGTGAAGCGAACGAGATGGGGCAGATGTCCTGACGAGGGAGAGCAGCGATTGCCATGCCCGCAGGCTCCGAGCGAGGTCATACTTCGGAGTGAGGTCAACCAAGGACGTAGCAGTCGCTCGAGATCGCAGATTGTACACTTTCTGGACGTGCAGGGGTTGCGTATGGCGCTCAAAGAATACGCCTGTCCATACACGCTGCCTAAACTCGGCACCCCAGTCAAATGCCGCTGCAAGCCGAACATCGGTATCAATGAGCTCAGCAGCGGAATGCAACTTGCCTGTATCCAGGAAATACAATTTACGGGGATCATCAAACAGAGTAAGAAAGATCTCTCTCCATAAGTGGTTGTCCGTGGACTTGTATACCAGTGCCCGGAAGAGTCTGCATGTCTGTGCGACTGCGGCTATGGCGGTTGGAGAGCCCGATTCTGCGGCGAATACCAGAATTTTCTCCACGATCTCGAGTGGTAGGTTCAATAGCATGTTGATATGGACGGCAAGAAGCCGCGCTTGTGGCCATGGTCGTCGAGCCGGAACTCGGAGTGGCACCATGTGGGCGCTTACGTAGTCAGCATTGATCAATTTAAACAAGTTATATTGAAATTTGGCTTGAAGTCGACCATCTGTACTACTAGACGAGTTCATTTCAATACAACTAGAACGTCTCCAGGATTCACTGTGGCACCCTCTTTGACCCCTCTACCAGAACCTACCACAGTGTGTCCGACATGTTCTTCCCCAGCTTCCACATTTATCTCGGTCTTCATTGCTTCTAACACCACCAAGACGTCGTCTGCTGACCTGATCACATCTCCCGGCTGGCACTTGATTTTCCAGATGACTGCGGACAAAGAAGATGTAATGCCATTTGTGTACAGGCCATCTATGGGTTGTATGCATGAGACTAGTAGCTCATCACAGTGGTCGTCCCAATGCAGACCTACCTGAAACCTGACTTTCGCTTTCAGGTTCTTCCATACGCAACTTGGCATGTCGGCTGGTCCAACTCAAATGTAATTCGATCTCCCTAGTGAATTTCGCATCAGCTGGCTGCAACCAGCGTTGTGTAAGACGTGCCTGGCTTCCTCGGATTTGGTTCCTAAAGCTTGTCTTTCTCGGAATCGCTCCGTCTCAAGGGATATGGTCTCTATGAATTTCATGTATTCCGCCATTGAAAATTTGCTCTCCTCTATCTGTGTTTTCCATTAGATTGTGGGACAGAAATGATCCCCACGACTAGCCTTAAATTTATACTGTCCTGCGTCAAATTGACTCTCCATCTAGCCAGAAAGTTTAGCTGATGTCATGACACTTCGATCAGTGAACATTTACATACCTTTATGTATTCGTTTTCGCTGACCGGTTCAAATGTGACCTGACCTTTGTTGGGATTACGGCTATAACTATTCCTTCTCAACTTACCTGGTCAAATGGCCGCAAAAGCCAAGGCTGGGAGGGGCTGAAGTCGTAGCCTTTTCCCCATGTTTGCCAAGGAGGCAATGTCCGGCCGAACAGTTGATATCCTCCTGGGGATTCGATGGGATATATGGCGGCAACTAATCCAGCGATGCCGACAGCCCCCTAGACCGTATAAGTAACTCGATTAGCAGCGATACTAATATGATAGTTGGGACCCTGGACGTACGCGTGGAGTGTACGTCCTAGAAGGATTCATCTTCTGGCCGACCAATCTACACCTCGGATCTATCTACGTATGTTAGAATTCAACATCGTGCAAGCATTGAAGGAGAAGAAACTTACCGGAATCAAGAAGGGACATCCTAAGTAGAAGCCAACTCCGAAAACGAGCTAGCACTGTCAGTCAGCAAATTACGAAGACAGCGTATTGCCACAGACATACCCAGTCCGAGGATATCAACAACTTCAATGCCTCATCAGCACCACCCTCCAATCCATTGTTCTTAGCAAGGTGTTCGATGTTGCTAGGCAAATAAACAGCTTCATCTCGCTGAGAACGCATGTATTTTTCGAGCGCATCCCTGTTCCACTTGTCATCCAAGACAATAGGGAACCTGATCTTGCGCGCAGGGAATACGGCATCATGCAAACTGTCAGGCAACGAGATTTCAATTTCCACAAGAATGTATAACAAGTCCTCCTGAGAAATTATGTATCGATCATATCGGATCTACCAGAGTTGATTTACTTTAAAACCGACATGATTGATAAACAGTGGGACGGACCATTATTGATCTGATGCACGGCGCTACAGACCATACCCCTGGGAGTTCTCGTCTGCTCAATTCTGTCTCAAACGCATGGATTCGTGCGCGCAGTGTGAAGTCAAGTTTTAAACCACCATATTCTATCAAAATAGCGGCATCTCCAGCCTACGTAACAAGGTGTCAGGTGTTGATATCTTAGACAAACATGTGAAATTCGTACTTGGCGGAACACTACCCGCGGCCGTATAGAGTACGAGGGAGGAGCAATGATGTGCAACTTAGGATCCTGAGGGGAGTCAGAGAAGGTTTGAGTGAGTGATCCGTGTTTGGTACGCGTGCTTGACGGTCCCGGAGACACAAGTGTTTGCGATAATTCCTCGAAGTATCGGTCCAGCTTGCTCATGAGGCTTACAGACTGGGCGACTGTAATGCGCCTGAATTGAACGGTACATCCTGGCCGCAACTGGCCGACTTTCCACCTTGTGCCAACGACAGTGAGTGAAGAAAACACAGCCCGCAGCATGGAGCAGACATACATTTCTTCTGTAGCAACGGTGCAAACGCAAGCGTACCCTCCCATATCCGGCCCATCGTTGGTGAGAATCACAGGTGTGTCGCCGTTCATGTTAATTGTGCCGAACGCATAGCCATTATCATGTATATTTGACGGATGAGAGCCTCCCTCACCACCACTCTTCCGTGCCCAAGCAATAGGTGGGCCTTCCAGACGAATGCCCATACGATTACTCGATGAAGTCACTTTCCAGTGCACAGAGAAGAATTCTTCAATACCGGCGGAAGTGATGAATTCGTCATCACAGTGAGGTCCTGCGAGGCAATAGATGATCCAGTGGGATTTATACTGGGGTATTAAATGGTCTGGACACACACGCTCTTTCTCGTCTGCAAAGTGAGCGCAGTTGGCAAGAGCGATGCAGTCACCGGCTATTAAAGAGCGACCCTATGACAAAAATATAAGCCATACATTTATACAACGAGAACGCGGACGTAGTACATACCTGATACCCACCGAGTCCCAACGACGTCGACTTCGAGCCCAGATACTCCGGAATCTCTGGAAATCCGCCTCTTACTGCGAGATAAGCTCTGAATCCAACGTCCTTGATGGCACCGATAGCCAATGTGCCGCCCGCAGGGACGATGAGACACCTCCACATGTCGACGACTTCCCCGTTGATCGTGGCCTGCAGGGGCGCGCCTGTGATGGCGACCGTGCACGCAGTGTGGAAGTGTATTTTGCACCCAACGAGCGTGATTTCAAGCCCTTCTATACCTGGACTGTTTCCTACGAGAATGTTGGCAATGAAAAATGCCAGTGTGTCCATAGGCCCTCCACGAGGTATACCCGATCCAACGCGTCGCCCTGGATAGTCCTGAACCGTCGTTTCGATGCCGCCACTGATAACATCCATTGCACTAGAATTTGCGCTGTGAGATCCTGCTGCCTAATCGTCGTGATCGCGTGATTCAACATACCGGTGAGTATATACGAAAGTATCAAGGAAGGCGGTTGTTGAGTTACCGGCTCTGAAGGCCTCGGATTCGCATATAGCTCGCAAATACGACATGTTGTTAGGCGGACCATATATTTGGCTTCCTTCAAGGGCTCGATGCAGTCGGTGGATGGCCTCTGGACGAGTAGGGGCGGTGACGATCATTTTGCAAATCAGCGGATCAAAGAATGGAGTGATCGTGGTTCCGTTCTCGACCTATTATTACGAGGTAAGAGGAAAAAGTGTGGATATGCAAGGATTAACGGCAGACCCAGTTCTCGAGACGTAGCCAATCGGCCCGCAGGAACTCGACCTTCTGCAGTACACCAGGGCTTGGCTTGAATTGCGCGGCAGGATTCTCGCAGTAAATTCGCGCCTCGATTGAATGGAGTAGTTTGACATTGGGAGTAACCTCGTATGGGTCCTGTTGTAGTTCGTGGGGGGTGAGTCCGCCATGATTAGTATCCCGTTGCGCTATACCCTGGTGAATCATCAGCTCGACTATGTCAAGGCCTGGATTGACCGCTTCGGTAACGGGATGTTCAACCTGCGCAGGTGCCCAAAACGTATTAGGATAGTCGCTGCCATAATTAATGTGGCGCTGATACCTGAAGTCGAGTGTTCATCTCTAGAAAGAAGAAATCTCCTGTGGCATCGTCAACTAGAAACTCCACCGTTCCTATCTGAAGCTTTAACAAATTTCTTGCGGAAACTATACAAGCGGCTCACCAGCCGAGGCATATTTGACATGCTCGCACAGTCGGAGGGCTGCAGAACACATTTTTGCTTGTACATCTAATTTGTATTGGAGCGTTCATATAAGATTCATGAAACCGGCGAAGACCTACCAGGATGCTTCATCATGAATGGACTGGGTGACTCCTCGATCACCTTCTGATGCCTGCGTTGGACACTGCATTCTCTCTCGCCCATGTGAATGACGTGACCATTCCCATTTCCAAAAACCTGGGGATATTATTATGATGCAAGGAAGTATGCTTGTAGCATGCTTGCCTGAATCTCAATGTGTCGAGAAGAAGGATAGTACCGTTCAATAAACAAGCCTCCATTTTTGAATAAAATCTGCCGTAGTGTCCTTTAGCAAAGCTTACGGTACAAGTGCACTGAAGATAGAGGATACCTGCGCACGATCCCGAGTAGCAGTGAACATTGTACTCAGCTCCTCTTCGTTCTGGCATACGGCGAGGCCCATTCCACCTCCACCAGCGGTAGACTTGAGCATGACTGGAAAACCAATCAGAGCAGCTATCTTTGCCGCGTCCTCGACATTTTCAAGCAAACCATGAGATCCCGGAACGAGCGGGACGTCAACCTCCATAGCGAGCATCCGAGCTTCATGCTTCAGACCCATCGCCTGGATTGTCTCTGGACGAGGACCTAGAAAAGTGATTCCGGAATCCGAGAGAAGCCTGGCAAAGTGTGCATTTTCTGACAGAAAACCATATCCCGGATGCACGAGCGTGATGTTTCGTTCTTTGCATATCTCTACAATGGTCTCTGCGTCAAGATACCCGCGCGAGTTGGAGACAGGATCGGAGTCGTCTGGACGTAACGCTACTGCCTCGTCGGCCAGTAGAACATGGGGAGAAGTAGCATCAGACTGTGTGTAAACAGAAACAGTGTAGAGTCCCAATCGCTTGGCCGTTTGCAATATACGAATTGCAATCTCGCCGCGGTTGGCAACCAGTAGTCTGTGAAGCTTGTAGGCTGGGACAGACATGATCAACGCGCTCTGACCTCACAGATGAACGAGAGAGACGTACTGGTGTACCTTGTGCGTATCTATAGTTGCCTTGAGCGGTTCCGCCTCACTAGCAAGCGCACAGGCAGTGAGTGACGTATCGTTCTCATGGCTATCTGGTATCATGGGATAAAATGGAGCAATCTGGACGTTACCGTGGGCAAAACATGGTGTCTGGGCACGGAACATGCGCCAGGCATGTACCGGAAGAGATCGCATTTTCTCAATGTTCGAAGCCTGAGCATTGAAGGACATCTTCAGGCAGCGAACATGACAAGTTGGCAGGCTCTGATTGGCCCTTTTCCCATGTGCTTTGCATGTAAAATACGATCGTATGTTTGCAGCTCGAAATTTGATATTGCAGGAATTGAATGCGATCTGTTGCGGCCAGTAAGTTCCGGCGGATGTTCGACCACCGACCTTCGGCAATTCAATGCCCATGGTGCTTACCATAGAGATAACGTTTTCTCAGCCTTCCAAGGCTTGCCTCCGGCTCGGTGGATGCGAAAGTCGGTGGCTTTGTCACTACTTATAGCAGAGCTGAGGCAAAGCATATGTATCTGATGAATCGCACGCCTCGCGCGAGTTGGGACTGATTCGGGTCCACTTGGTCGTCCTACATATCGCAGCATTCTACAACTTTCAGCAAGCTGTTCCCCGTCGCAGGAAAAATGCCGCTGCGGGCCACTGTAAATTGCGATATGGGCGAGGTGAGGCAACAGTTACAAGTTGACTAGTACTGGTTGCGATCCAGATCATACTATCGCAGACACCTACCCAACTTTCTCACTTCACTTGATCGGCCATCCGTGCCATTCTGTTCGTAAACCCGAGACGCTGACCACAGCCCATCTTCTGGCAGGGTTATGCTATCTATACCATAGTATGTCCAATTGACATGAAGCTTTGATATTTGGACATAGATATGCGCATTGATAGGGCGATGATAAGGCGCTCATGAAGACCATTCATTTGGCAAACATCGCTTGTGGCTTCCATGCGTCGTGCGTCTCAGCCACCAAGAATCTTATTTTACGTGTTCGCTGACTCGGGCTTTGAAGTGACTTTAATATCATGAACGAAACCGTTGCGCTAGCTAAAGCTAACCATGTCCTTGTCGGTGCTCATCCGTCGCTTCCAGATAGACAGGGCTGGGGACGCCGCGAAATGGTGATGGAACCAGTGAGACACTTCTCCAACGAAGAAAAATTATTTTGATTGCGTAACTGACTCTACCGTTATGAGGATGAACTTGCATTTTGCTTCGTCTATCAAGTAGGCGCCCTCATGGGCTTCCTGAAAGTCCATGGGCTTCCCTTGAACCATGTATGTCATTTTTTCGTAAGTTAGTTTCACATAGGAAACTCAGTATTCTGTAGCTCAAACCTCATGGATCTGTGTACGGCATGACCGCTCGTGATATGGCATTGGCTCGTGCCGTCGTCGGCGTAGCCAAGACATTCGAGGTTCCCTTCATGGGTCTGGCAGGAACCTGCCATCAAACAGCTGCTGTAGAGCTCGGCGTTCCATTCATCGCTGGTAAGATATCAGCTTCCCGGGAACGCTATTCACAAATTTCTCATACATTGCATCAGAATGGTTTGCGGACTTAGAGTATAGTCCGGAGGGACAGTTGCTCATTACGAAGTGCATCTTTATATCTCTACTCTGGCAACATTGGAGGTTTCACATTGTATCATAGGAAGCATGACCCTGTTCCATTGGACGCAGTGCGTGATCGGGTACGCAATATACTGTCAGAAGGCCTGGTCACAACGTCGTCCGGGCTTGTGCCCCTGGGAAAGGGCATCTTGGACGTCTCCATATGCTGTCATTCGGACACACCAGTGAGTTGGCAAAGGGACGGCTGGAGACATAATGCTCACAAAACTGGTATTCTAGGGTGCCGTTGAAATCGCGAAGACAGTGAAAGCGATGGTAGATGATAGCAACGCAAGGCTAAATGGATAAAGACAGCCAGAAAGTTTTGTATACTAGGTACTTCCTTATCACGGATGGCACTTACACGTGCAATTATGTGAAATGAGACGCATAGACGCATTTACTGCAAACGTGGAGTACATGGAGATGGGACGGCAGCGGTAGAAGGTTCTGAATAATGCAAGCTTTCCAAAAACATCACAAGAAATAATAACCCCTATAAACGAATCAAAACCATTCCGACACGGGGAATCGAACCCCGGGCTATCGCGTGAGAGGCGATAATGTTAGCCACTACACCATATCGGAGATATAATTTAGGGCTCTAGATATACTGCTATTACTTCTGCTATAGTCCAGCCACCACCTTGCACCAATTTCCACTCCTTCTCATAACTTGATATGGCCATGTTCAAACTTCCTCAAGGGCTGAAGATACTTCCGTCTACTCGCACTTGTTGTGGCATATTTTTGAGACCTAGGGGGCCGGCTACGTCGGCCTTTCTCCGAATACCTGCGCAGACCATAAGTAATCCGGCCCGTCAATTCTCTGCAACTCATTCCTGGTGTGGTCCTCGTTATGTCCGGTTCAATGTAGACCAAGAGCATCCATTTAATGTCAGGAAATGGGACCTTGGGACCCGAATCGTGGCCGCGGTCGTGGTTGGCGGTGGTGTGTACTATGTAACACAGTGCGTGTTTGATAGTGTGTGCTCATAGCTCTCCTGTGCTCACGTAGGTCCTTGCTACCTATTTACTTGTTTGCCATATGTGTTCGCAGTCTCGAGAAGGTTCCAGAGACAGGTCGATGGCGCTTTATGGATGTGAATCCTAAAATCGAAGCCAAGGTGAGGCGGCACAGCCAACCATTGGCCGACGAGTCATTTAAACTAAACTATAAGCGGCGGTACCTCTAGCTAGCGAAGGTATCGTATGAAGAGCTTCTGTCTGAATATCAAGGCAAAATTCTTCCCGAGCATCATCCCCTCACTCGACATGTCCGAAGGGTTGTTTCGCGTATCCTAGAAGCATCCAACCTAGGCACGCTTGCATTCGAGAAACCTGGATATCTGGTCACTACCGGGCCATCGGATGATCTATGGAGTACGAGCACACAGACGGCAGACACTCCTCCTGGTGCTGGTGGTAGAGTGTGGAATTTGCTCGTGGTTAATGATGATCGTATGGTCAATGCAATGGCAAGCTATGGTATGTACTCGCTCACGAGCCGCTTTGTCTCAATGCTGGAATCTGAACTTTATAGGAAACATTGTCGTATTTACTGGAATTCTTCCCATAGCAAAGGACGAACAAGGATTAGCCGCTATCTTAGGGCATGGTAAGTCTTATGTATACTGTTTGAATCAGATTTTCTCATGTACAACTAGAGATTGGACACGTCGGTAGGTCTGCCATTATCTGCGTGTGCTATGTTCGAGAATATTCACTGCACTCGGATTACGCGCATTTCTCTTCTCGATTTTCAGTATTGCGGCACAACTCGGAGCGCTACTCCTCCATGAAGGTTCTTCTCGCCCTTGCGACTCTGCTTGAAATTGCCGGTCTAGATTTTGGTTTTGCAAGACTACTTACGTCATTACTGTATGATCTTCCAAATTCGAGGACGCAAGAGTTAGAAGGCAAGCTTGCCACTGTTCACGGTCTCTATTTCATCGCAGCTATCTTACCTTATCTGCGTTATCTGATCTTGTATAGCGGACCATGTAGGCCTGAAATTGGCTTCCCGAGCATGCTTCGATCCACGCGCCGCGCCAGAGTAGGTGTGAGTTGTGCTTGGAACTGGGCTTGTATCGTTGATATTATTTAGAATGTTCACGCGTCTGGGAAAGCTTGAGCAAAGCAAGGGAGGGATACAGATCGGGTTCATTAGTACACATCCCCCCTCACGGCAACGAGTTCAGGTTAGTGTGACGGGGGTCTCATTCAGTTGTTCGTTAACTCCGTTTGCAGCAACTAGAAGAACTTCTCCCCGAAGCATATGCAATACAGGCTGCAAGTCCGGAATGTGGTGCCATCCAGGACAGTTTAGCTGCATTTAGGGATACATTTGCTCGTGACTCTTGGAGAGCAGCGGATGAAAACGTAGTTTGGACGTGAATCCGGGTGTGCGTGGCGTGAATGTACTGATGCTAATGTCGAATCCCTGCTCCTTGGACATGACAGATTGAACATCCCGCTAGACATTATCATACTTGGTCACTGAGTATGATGGGATCATCCGGTCAAACCTCTCCCTCTTTACAAGTATAGCTATTCCAGCCTGTGCTTTGTGGCCTTGAGCTTTTCTGGATGCTCTATTTTAATGGCTACGTCCACAGAATGTCGTGATTGCAGCGTCTGACATCATAACATTACCCCTCCCGTTCAACCATGTATCTCACAACTGAGCAGACAATTGGACCCAATATCCGTCACCATCATGCACGGTTTCAACGTGCACTCGTGCTTCCATTCCATACACTGCAGATTCCTGCAGCTCCCTACGTAGGCCACATCATGAGATGGAGGAGCCTGAGCCGTGAAGGTATTGCGAGAGGAGTGATGAGTATATGGAGGGGATGCATGTGTTTTCTCGTTGTTCCTGTCATGCACTAACGACGAGCCCTCAGAAATTGATGCTCATTCGTGGAACATAAACAAACTAAACAACATAATGTGCTGAAACCACTACATCCTGTGTATTAGTCCCCTGTCAGTCCAGCTCATCAGGCAATGCACGTACCAAGTGGACACGAGCAGTGCAATCCCTGTTGCAAATCCCATCATCGTCGCGCAATCGCTCACCACCATCATATTCAACTGCCCTGCATTGTCAATTTGTCATGGCCAGATTGCTCCACATCATCACAAGTCAACCACCGCTCCGGCTCACCAATCTGCCTTCACGTTGAAGTTTGACTCTTTTTGCCAGTAGCTCATTAACTTGGGATGCCTAATCCCGAAGGTCCCGATTAGTATTCTGAAGGTATATATGCCCCGCAGCCGTTGCAAGATAGCGCACTGACTTTGCCTGACCACTGTGACTAGTCTCCTAGTATACAGTTTCTCAACGGTATAACCTGTGAATGTAGTACCGTATTGACTTTGCTATAGTCGTACACTAATGAACATCCTTGGCCGAACTCCCTGGCCGAGTATCTGCAATACGATACACTTGGCATCTGATCCAGCCATTGGTGAGCCGGTAGAGCGACACTCGCGGTCGGGCCACACCATGATCAGCCCAGTCTCTGCATGCTCGGAGTTGGAATCTTGGATATACGATTTTACGTTGCGCTACATCGATATACACAAGTCTACATAGTGCTCATTGGTACTTTCGTGAAGTTCGCTAATAAATTGTTTCAATCTGTTCCACCCGCCCTTCAACAACGACAACACTACTCGCGTCCTGGCATGTCTTACTAACTGCTCTCTCACCCTCAAGCTCCAGCGCTCGTTCTTGGACTTCTAGTGCTCCGCTGTCGCCCATGTCAGTTAGGATAATGTTCACACTAATGGGTGGTCCTCTGAGGCTCTAAATCGTACCCTGTCCGATGTTAATAGTGTCTCTCCCTCATAAAATTATTTTTTAGCTTCTTGGTACTTATTTCGCCTATTTTATCCTCTCAGTTAGCCGGCATCCTGGTGCTTAATCCAATGTGGATGCTAGTCCTGCCCGCTAGCACTCTTTTCTCGGTTCCCGTATTTCGCCCCCGTCGCATCGGGTAAGTTAGTCTGGTTAATATAGTCCGCACGCGCATCTCCCAAGCATATGTATTCCTTGTCTTTCTGATGCCATCGCTACTGATCTTGCTGTACTAGTCTTCTGAGTATTCTTGCTGGCTTCTGGACGTTGCATTAGGTGAGCCTTCGATTCATGCACTATCTCCGCTTGAGTCCTCTCACCAACGACCCTCGGGGCTTGGGAGGGAGAGTGGATAGAAGACGGCCCAACACGGACGACATGCCACCGCAAACAGGTTGCCACCTACAACAAATCCACGTAAATTGTTCACGAACCTCCCGCGCGAGATTCATATAAGAATGGTACAATGCCGAACAGGACATGGTTTGTAGGCGAGTACTACTCTGACTTTGTACCATCCGAACCAGTTGGCTGCCCATTTGGAGAACATCTACAGACGAGATGATACATCCTACAAACATGCACAGGGTACGAGCAACACCGTTGTATCCTCCAAGAGGCGAGCGCGACAATCGACCTCCCAGCGATCCTGGGAACCGAGGCAGGCATGGAGGCACTAGGGAGATTCCTGAGGGAATCCGGAGCGTTCACAAAAACAGGGGAGAAGCCGACGACAAGGAAATGAGTCCAATGGGAAGACGAGCCCGACCCGGAGAAAGGAGGAGACGAAGGGAGCGAGGAGGACGAGGGTTAGGACGTTGGACGGTGCAGAGATGCACAAGACCAGAGGACCGCCAACACGATTGGACGCACATTCGCATTTACCCCAGAGCTGGATTCCGTTTTTATTTTTCCTCTATTCCCCACTACGACCGTGACGGCGCGCGACGCAGAGCGGTCCCGATACTACAACGCATGACAACAACTAAGATTACTTGCACTTACTCCCTCCCCCACCGTAGCATACCGTCATCCAGGACCTCGATAGAGACCGCCCAGTCGTATTAGTTCTACTTGTACGAATCGGTTATCACCGCGTCTTCACACGTTTGTTTGCTTGTTGGGGTATACAAATGTTGATTTTATCATCACCATCATCCTCCCACCAACGATATTCTTCATGCCTTTGCGGCATTTCACTGCTCCTGTATATCTTAATACCTGGGACTTTGTTGATAATTTACTGTGAGTCTCTTCCAAGACTAGCCTACGATATGTCCCGAACTTAAAGTTGCCTCGCTCTTGCAGGCCTCTAACCCATCCACGGATGAGGGAACCTGAGAATCTAGCACTCAGGCGACTTCAGCACGCTCGCAACACTACTTAAGAGGTCACAGGCTGTGTCACTAACAACTCTGATAGCTGCGCCAGCCGCGATGCTTTCAGTAACCAGCTCGCAAATACGCTGAAAGACAGACGACGTCTTCCCTATGCCGTGAACCCCACGGCTCGCTCGCCTCATCAGAGGTACCCACAAGGTGCCTAGAAACTCGGCATCATCTCGAACACATCATGGTCATTATACATTTCTTGAACATACATACACAGCATACATGGCACCACACCACTATACGGGATTCAATAGACTACTCGCACCTTCATTCTTAATGTCATTGTGGTGCTTCGTCACTTTCAGCAGAGCACGGGTAATTGCTATGTAGTATTGCGACAAACACACGTACAAATGATATGCGGCTGTATCATTTTGTGATGGGCCACCCCCCGTCAATATCAAAGCCAACGCCAACGCGGGCCGATCAAGGATGCCGTCAATTTACTCTGTCACAATACCTAAGCGATTCTGTATCATCCTTTGACTCCGCGCCGCCGCTGTGGTCTTACGCAAAACATACCATGAACCGAGTTACACACTGACTTATCTTTTCAATCCATGTCTTTCTTTCGTATTCGCCGTCGCGGCCAGCGCGAGCTGGCTGTTACCGATCTGCAAAACATCTCTCCGTCATCTTCCAACGTCAACAGCGCCCATGCTAGCACAATTTCCTTGGAATTCCCCCTCACGCGACGGTTGTCTGCACTGTCTTTCATTAGCTCGAAATTGACCCCAAAAAAGCGAAATCTCTCTCGCTTGGGGACCCCGCAGGCGGGGCCAGTCGGCCATACAGTCGACTTCCCAAGATCCTATACCCGAGAAAGCACGCCTTCGCCCACACCCTCTCTGGACGATATTCGTATGCCCGTCGGCCTCGGACGCAGGGCGAGCGAAACATCTAAAATGGGAGAGGACGAAGAGCACGAAGGTGTGGATTCCATCTTTACGGTTCACGACCACCGATCTCGGTGCGTTAGCTCACCAAATCCGACGGTCAACGAGTCAGGAAGAGGCGTTAGGGCCGTCCTCACCGCGCTCAATGAAAGTCATCCCCCCTCCGAACATCCCGCAATTCATCGAGTGCCTCCGGAGCTCTGGCGAATTGTGCTCGCATCCAGTTCACGCTCGGACTTGTTGGTATTGGGTCTCGCGTCGAATGCACTACTCTTCCCCACTCTGAGCGCAATATACCACACCCTCGACCTCCGCGACCTTGATCACGGTCGTGTTGAACAATGTATGGCGCTGCTCGCATCCAAAAGGTCCACAGCAGAATTAGTGCGCAAATTTACATGCAGCTTCCTACCCTCGTCCGCTACCGGTCCCGCGTCAATGAACATGGTCACTTTCGCAGTCGCATTCACCAACATGACACAACTCCGTTCACTCACTCTGCCCAGATTCGACGCACATCTACTGCTCCATTCGGCATTCAGCCTCGACAATCTCGAAATTAGCTCGCAGGCTATGTCCGTGGATGACATCCATGGTCTATCGATTTGGCTTACAAAACAACCTGACATCAAGTCATTCTCTTTGCCGGATTTGGTGATGGACCAGCTGATAGAGGAGACCACCCCCACGTCTGATTCCCCCGCATTGATTGATACCACCACTCGCCACCAGTCGCTCATTCCTGATGATATCCTGCCACACCTGACGTGTTTTGATGGACCTGCATCTTTGGCCTCGTTGATAGTCCCAAGGCGACCAGTTGAGTCTGTAGTGCTGCACATTCACACCACGCTCTACGATGGCTTAAAGCCATCGGGTATCATGCAGCCATTAACACGCTCAACCGCCGGCCTCAAGTCTCTAACAATTGTCCCTGCCTCAACTCAGGTCGACGCGCGCACGCTTGAGAGAGTACTCATGTCCGCGGGGGCAGTCCTAGGCAATCAGCTGGAGAGTCTCGAAGTGCACTGGCTGCTCGAGGATGAGGTGCGTGCGCGTGCTTATGCTGTTGTCTCGTACTAAATGTGTCCACAGGTGCTTTACAAACACATGCTGGGTGTGATAGCCAGGTTCCAGATGTTGCTCACATTACGCATGCGGTGCGACGCCCGTTCTCCAACTTCCTCACCCCGTACGTCTTCATTGCTGGGATCGCAGGAGCGAAGCCAGCAGGAGCGGCTCTCAACGCCACCACTGTTGACGCCGCCCGCCTCTCCTCTCCGTGGAAGTCGCCCCGGCTCAGCAAGCAGTGCACTGGATCCACCGCGCGCACAAGAGCGTGCGCACTTGAACTCGTGGAGCAAGCACTGCCCGTCGCTCCGGAGGGTAGTCTTCCTGTCTGGTGCGGTGTGGCACTGCGAGCCGGTCTGTTCGCTGATGGCAGCGAGTGGGCTGAGCCTTTTTGCGCCTACGTTTCATATCATTGGTTTTGTGGGCCAGTGAACTTTCGATGCATGAACGTGTGCGTTTATCTGATTTCGTTACTACTACCGTGTTCTGTTGTACAGTGGACTACAACCATTCATCTTATTCTACGCTATATACTGTCTTAATACTAGACTCCCCTGCTTCCCTGACTCATGCCCATCTGCCATCACTGTCTCGGGCACGTCGCTGCTTGCGCAATTGGCGAGACGGGGCGAGACAGTCACGACCCCGCGTTGTCATCTGGCACGTGCGCGTTTAGCCAAACATGACCAAAGAACACGAGAAATAAATCATCCTATGGTACGGTACAGCGGTACAGTAATTAGCTCTGCGCCCCGTAAGCTTTTATATTGAAACTGCTCACTGAGTGTATCGTGCCCGCCGTCATCCACCATGGTTGCTATTGTTCAAAAACCCGCCCCCGCCTTCAAGGCTGCCGCCGTCGTGGACGGCCTTTTCCAGGACATCTCACTTTCCGACTATCTCGGCCAATGGTGAGTGCGTCCTATCGTTCCACGCCGTATAGTCCATCATATATGTTCTTTTTCTCAGGGTGGTGCTCTTCTTCTACCCATTGTGCGTGTGTTCGTGGATCTACGCGTTGTGATTGCTAACCTGCCTGATAGAGATTTCACGTTTGTTTGTCCTACCGAGATTCTTGCGTTCAATGACGCGCTGCCGCAGTTTAAGGCGCTCAACACGACGGTCCTCAGTGAGTGCTTGGCGAACTCTCGCTAGCTATTCATCTGACGTGTAAATCGCAGGCGCGTCGACGGATTCACACTTTGCGCACTTGGCGTGGGCGACGCAGCACCGCAAGCAGGGAGGTCTTGGTCCTGACCTCAAGCTTCCCATGATCGCGGACAAGAGCATGAAAATTTCCCGTGACTATGGCGTGTTGATTGAGGAGGAGGGCGTTGCCCTTCGTGGGCTGTTCCTCATTGATCCCAAGGGAATCTTAAGGTGCGCGAGGTCATGCTTTGTGCTAAGTGGCTCTAGCGCTAATGCATGGTTATTAGGCAAATCACTATCAATGATTTGCCTGTCGGGCGTTCCGTCGACGAGACCATCCGTCTCATTAAGGCGTTCCAGTTCACTGTGCGACTCGTCTCCCATTGTCATTCGCATGAGCTAACCTATGGAACAGGACGAGCACGGTGAAGTTTGCCCAGCCAACTGGACGGAGGGCAGCAAGACAATTAAGGCGGACCCTAAAGGCTCCTTGGAGTATTTCTCTACTTCCAATGGCCATGCAGAGGTCAATGGCACAAACGGCGTGAACGGCGAGCATTCAAAGAAGCGCCCTCGTATCGACTAAAAGCCCTACCCTATAGACGGTCCTGAAGTTTCAAGCATTGGACTCTGATCGTCGATTTACTTGGCTATGATGAAGATGAAGTAAGATTTGTGTCATATTTGAAGAATGTTTGCAGACCAGACGTTGTGCTTAGATATCTTGACATAGAATGGTAGAACTCTTATTTTTCTGTTCCTATAGATGCAGAAAATTATTCGTGTAGTTACTAACGATACAGCTGACTGTTAATAGTTCGCTATCATCGGCGCTTTCTTGATGTACATACATTCGCATAGTCGAACTCCTGCTAATCCAAAACGTCTCGTCGTCTTCCTGAGCTATTGGTTGAAATTTGGTGTGGTATGGATGGGCTGTCCTAACCAATCTCATGTTCTGCAAGAAGCTGTAGTGGCTGGTAAGGACGGAGACGGGAATGAAAGGGTATGCAACCAACCATGTTTGGAATGCCATTTGAGATGGGATATACATGTCCACAGTTTGGACATACCATTGCACCCTCCTCAACATGTATCTGTTGCGACGAATTGTGATAAGGCCAACATATTGAAGGTATATTTCGGAACACTGACTTCTAGTAGTACATGATGGAGCTTTTGAAGGAAGTCATCATCCAACATATCTGGAGGCTCGGACGGCAGAGAAGTATCACCCAACTAACATTCAAAGGGTCAGATACGCAGCGATTGCTATATGTCGCTGTACGCTGACCACTCACCTGACGTGCCGCGTCTGTAAGGGCACCCCATTCGATTCGCGGGATGAATCCGCGTAAAAAGTCGGGATTGAACTCGGCCTCGCGCAATTCAATTTGAATGTCCTTGAACTGCAGAGGAAAATTATTGGACGTGCAGCCTTTTGCATGGCATGCTAGGAGATTGTGCGTGATGAGTCTAACCATATTTGAGTCCGACAGCACAGTAGTTGATGAGCGTCGGGAGAAAGAGCAAAAAAGGCAAGCGTCGGCGCGGCTCTCCAAGTCAGCGCCTGAAAACTATCCTTCTTGGTACCGACAACCCTCGCTCATAGCTGTGCGCAACTGAAAATGCCTCGGCCACCGTCGCCATCCATCCCAGAGAAAGAGTTTTTGTATGCGTCCTTGAAACAATCCTTGCGTGTAGATGGCCGAAATCCACTGGAAATGCGATCTCCTACACTTACTTTCGGGTCCGAATTAGGCTGGGTTGAATGTGGGATGGGGAAAACTCGGTGCGGTGTGCTTTAAATTAGACGTATGGAAGCAGAATTTCTCATTATTGTAATTCTGTTTAGTGTGATGGCCCAAGTGGATGCGAGGATGGTGAAGCCTCCGCCAGAACGTCCACTAGAGGGGATCATCACTATCCATTCGGAGCTATCGCCCATGGCGTCGAATGAGTATGAAGTCGGTCGGTAGGTACGTGTGTCGCTCTCATGTCTACCTGTCCCTCTCACTCGGGCATCTGACGCAGTCCGTCGGACGAAGAAGTGACTATCACACGGATGCTAGACAAAGTGCTACGGCGGAGTGACGTGGTGGATAAGGAGTCGTTGTGTGTTTTGGCAGGACAAAGGGTACGCTTGAACCTTCCTTGTGTGGGAAGAGGTCTCTGATGCGATGCAGGTTTGGCATATCCGCTTAACGATACACTGTCTAGCCGACGCCGGGAACATGCTCGACTGCGCATGCCTAGCCGGAATCGTTGCGCTGAAGCACTTCCGTCGTCCAGAAGTTGAAGTTGTTGGAGACGAGGTGACTGTTGTGCGTGATCTTGATCTGTTCTCGATTTGTTGTGAGCTTTGAAGTTCATTTCATATCATTAGCATCACCCTTTAGAACGCGCCCCGATGCCCCTCTCCATGCACCACACACCATTCTGCCTTACCTTCGCATACTTCCCCGATCCATCCACTCTACCAGTCCTCGATCCATCTCATCTCGAACAACGTCTTAGCACCGGTCTTCTTTCTGTCGCACTGAATGCTCAACGAGAATTATGTGTGGTACAAAAAGCTGGGGGCATACCCCTCACTCCAGAAGAGATTCTGAGAATAGTGAATATTGCAGTAGAGAAGGCGAAGGAATTGGATAAGATCGTGGAAACGAGATTGAGAGAGGACTGGGCGGGACGCACGGTTGAAGTCCGGTGAGATGTGGTAGCGTGTGCTCAAATAACTCTTGTATGCCGGCAATGGTGTTCGATGTATTGTGTATTCGTTCTTTGTGCATATAATTGACTTCCAATGAAAATAGCATATTTGCTTGTTAGCCTGAGCGGCGTAGATAAGATAAGATGTGCTTATCAGCGAATTTCATCGCCGCGATTGGGCCGCGATCACTGCAGTCGACTTGAACCGATACGTATACCTCGGTTTCAGCTTATATACTTGGCTGCTTTCAATTTGCCGTAAAACGTTGAGCTCTGCGCTTCGTCGGTGAGGTTTATGATATTCTAGACAATTGAAGGCCTTTTTGGGACTGATTCCTCCGCTAGAAACTTGCTATCGATTATAGGTCTCTGTGGCACGGTACACGCACAAGCTGATCGGTCTCTTGCGACATACGGTCTCCCCGAGACTAGGGAAGACGGCACTCATGGCAGGCTATCTTTACAATAATAACTCGCGCCATTCTTCACGTAGCAGGGAGGACGACGGCAGAGATTGGTATACAAGCGAGGGCGACCCCGTTCCGAGCTCCTCCCAGCCCTCATCTGTCTATGCAGATTGTCCAGAAACTGTAGCTCGTCCATACCTTGAAGGAATAAGCCGGCCTGGTAGTGTTTCTGATCATGTGCGCGCAATTGATAAACCAGATCTGCACTCTACTCGCCTACATAACCTTCCGTCGCGTCCTCCCCCTCGAGAGCCGCGGGCGATGCGCAAGGACCAATATTTTCGTGAAGTTACGCCTCTGCTGAAGCCACCAGTCTCCCCCACACCGAGCTACTATGCGCTCTCCATGCAGTCTCCTGCGCATATACCCGACCCAGCTTCGTCGCGCAAACTCTTGATCTTAGATCTCAACGGGACCCTCGTCCACCGCGCACCTCGCGCTCTGCGATCTCAGCCTACGGAGAGCGGAGGACCTGTACAACGTTTGCGCCCTGTACATCCGCGCCCATATATGCCCGCGTTCCGCGCATATCTGTTCGCGCCGGAGACGAAAACGTGGCTCGACGTAATGGTGTGGTCATCCGCACAACCTCATAGCGTTGCAGACATGGTCGATAAGTGTTTTGGTGAACACAAGACCGAACTAGTGGCAGTTTGGGCGAGGGACACACTAGGGCTGTCAGCGAATCATTACAGTGCGCGTCATTTTGTTGTTCTTCATCCTCTGGATCTCGCATGCCGCAGCTTCGCGTTGGAGTGGTGTACTCACTTCAGCGTTCGGCTGCGGTCTACTTGATCCATCGGCGCCCTTTTGACTCCTAATTATTAGACGAATAAACTAATATGTTGGCTTCAAGACAGCAAAGTCCAGACGGTGAAAGATCTGAACAAACCTTGGTCGCAGCTGCCAGCTCTATTGACCCCCCTTCCACCGTCGCCGCACCCATCCGAAGCCAGTACGCCTCGATCCGATCGCTCGCCCAGTCCTCCTACCAGCTCAGCTCCTGGCGCATCTGCAGTCGCAGCGCATCGCCACTCTGCATCGACTACCTTACTGTTGGACGATTCGCCGCTCAAAGCTGCAATGCAGCCGTACAATCATGTGTGCATTGGCGAATACTCCGGTGAACGACGCACGAAGGACTTGGAGTCTCTGCAGAAACAGCGAGATTGGGAGGCGATGGAGGCAGCGAGAGAGCAGCTGCAGATCCAGGCTCCAATGAGCCAGCAACAGGATGCACCTAGACGTTCTGAACTTCGAAGAGACTCTCCAGAAGAACTGCCGCAAGCGGACGCTGATGAGGCCGATCTGAAGAAACGGAAACGCAAAGCGTCTCGCCGAGATGGGTCTGTAGACGCACACGCGGAAGACGATACCTCGTCAGCGACAACATCTGTACCCGACATTCATTCTCCCTCTCCTGATGGCACAAAATATGACGGCGCTGTCCCATCCCACAAGCGAAAACGCAAGAGCAAGCGGCAGAAGACGCTCGAGGCGCTCGCGCAGTGTGCAGACGTGGAGAGACCCGAGGAGGTGTACGACGTAACGCTGCTTGCCGTCGTGGGCGTGCTGGAGGAGATCAAGCACCAGTACAATGTCGCAGCGTGGATACGCACCGGCGGGCTATGGGGGCAGCAGAGACCAGACCTTTCTCCGGAGCAGAATGTACCTTCCGAGCCTCGCGCTGCCGGCGCTGATGCTTCCGACAAAGCAATATCAGCAGATGGTGAGGGTCGGAAACGGAAGAAGGAGAAGCGGAATCGTCGTATGGTCAATGTGGATGGTAAGGGTGGAGTGGAAATGAAAGCTGGTAACGACCAGATGACGAATGCTGTGCTAAATAGCCGTGAAAATTCTCCCGTGCGCGAGACTGTCGAGAGAGCTTCCGATGAGGTTCTGTCAGGCAACGCAACGGCAGAGGTCCCCATCTGGTTTCGATCTCTGGATACCATGTCTTTCTGGGCGGGTAAAGGCCGGGAGGCTCTCATTGCCTTAGGCATCCCCGTGGAGCATGGCATCGATCACTAAGGAGGGTGTGGGGGATTTGTCTTGGAGGCGTAACGTGGATATACGTTGTTTGCTATCGACTTGCTGTCGTTTTTCTCACTGAACTTTCTGTTTTCCAAGTTGTAAGCAGATCTTTCAACGTTGAAAATAAGATAATATGTACTGACAGCCTGCGTCGAGGCGTCGAGATTGCATGAGCGTGGTCATTTTGAATTGTTTACAAGCAGTGATGATTTGCACGAAATGACGCGCACATTCTCTTTGAAAACGGCAGGCATTCCCCACTCATTCGTAACGAGTCTCGAGCTCGAGGTTAGGCTCCGGCAACGGGTTATACTTTTGTTCGCAAGGCACCGTTTCAGTAGACGCGGAGCTCTATCTGGCCTGCGGTAGCTATCGTTCAGATAATTGTCACCTGCCATGTTGTGAACCGACAGTAACCTGCCGGAGCAATGAATGTTATTGCCTTGGGTCTATCTCAGCACACAGGCTTTCAGGAAAACTTAATGTACACAATGTAGCTATGAGTAGAAGAACGCTTTGCAATCAGTAGCGAGGAGGTTGAGCAATCCGTTATCTAGATCCGAGATAAGCACTAATATATATATACCGGAGCTAGTCTGTCTCATCGCTGTGTATGGCTCGAGGGACAGACGGAGTTCCAGTGTCCTTTGTGTCCCATATCTACCCTCGTCGACTCTTGCTTTCCCGGAGGCCATCCACCCAGTAACTGGCCATCGTCGCGCGAGGCACAACTGCCGTTGGCGCCGCAGCTAAACCTCGATTCCCCAGACTCGACGACCGGTATGTATGCTGTCCCGTGTGTCGAGTGTTGCTGAGTGGGGGTGTTAGATGTCGCTGCCAGATCGCTCCATCCGCATTTGCGCGGACAGGGGAGGGACCTTCTGCGACGTGTTTGCGTCGTTCCCTGACCCAGAGAACGATGCAGTCAGGAAGGAAATTGTCGTGAAGCTGCGTGCGTGCCTTCTCGCTGCCGCGCACAATGAGTCCTCATCGCACGCACAGTCTCGCAGGATCCCGGAAATTATCGCGACGCACCCACAGAGGGAATCCGGAGGGTGCTCGAGATCGCAACAGGGACCAAGATCCCGCGCGGAACTGTACTACAGACGGACAAGATTGGTGAGCGCGCCCGCCATGCTTCCTCACCTTCGTCTTACCAGCCTGGCAGACTATGTGCGACTGTCTACGACCGTCGCGACGAACGCCTTGCTCGAGCGGAAGGGACACAAACATGCGCTGCTCATCACAAAGGGCTTCAAGGATCTGCTCCTTATCGGCAACCAGTCACGTCCCAAGATCTTTGATCTCAACATCCGTCGTGCGCCACCGCTCTACTCTGCCGTCCTCGAGGTTGACGAGCGCGTCACGCTCGTTGGCTACACTTCCGATCCGCAGGCAGAGGCGCACGCTGTGCAGTTTGACGAGGACGGGAACGTTACGCGCGGGTACAGAGGCGCGGGCTGGGATGGCGTGGGCGATGCAGAGGGCCCTGGCGAGATCGTACAGGGCCTATCGGGTGAGGCAGTCAGGATCATGAAACGACCCGGTATGCGTCGCCGTCATCTGCCTCTAATACACGTCCCAGTGCGCGCTGATGGCTGCGAACTATAGACCTCGACACAATCAAGGCGGACCTGGAGCGTCTCTACGCCGACGGCTTCCGCTCACTCGCGATTGTGCTCTGCCACTCGTACACGTTCCCCGACCACGAGCGTTGTATAGGCGACCTTGCGCGCGCAGTCGGCTTCACGCACGTCTCCGAATCGTCACAGTTACTGCCGATGATCAAGATGGTCCCGCGAGGCGTGTCGTCCACCGCGGACGCGTACCTCACCCCGATCCTGCGCGAATACCTCGACGGCTTCTTCAACGGCTTCGACGAGAAGTTGCGCGATGGGCGCGTGCGCAGCCCCCGCGTCGAGTTCATGGGCAGCGACGGCGGCTTGCTCGACCTCACGAACTTCACAGGGCTGAAGAGCATCTTGAGCGGTCCCGCGGGCGGAGTGGTTGGCCACGCGCTCACAAGCTGGGACGAAGAGCGCAAGCATCCGATTATTGGGTGTGTGGGCTGCTCGCTCGTGTGTTTCTCTACAATATCTGTCGCTGATCGACTATCGAGTGCAGGTTGGATGTTGGAGGCACTTCGACAGACGTGTCCCGGTTTGACGGGAGATACGAAGTTGTGTATGAGACGACGACGGCGGGTGTCACAATCCAGTCGCCGCAGCTGGACATTAACACCGTCGCTGCAGGCGGCGGTTCGCGACTGTTTTTCCGCAATGGTCTCTTCCTCGCGGGCCCGGAGAGTGCAGGCGCGGAGCCTGGCCCGGCGTGTTATCGGTACGTGTGTTGACCGATATACTGGGATCTGAAGCTTACAGGTGTGATACAGCAAGGGAGGGCCGTTAGCAGTCACAGATGCGAATCTGGTATTGGGCCGACTTGTACCAGACTATTTCCCGAAGATATTTGGCAAGTCGGAGGAGGAGCCGCTTGATACGGAAGCGTCGCGGTCTGCTTTCGAGGCGTTAGCAAAAGAAATCAATGTGAACCAGGAGAAGCAGCTTGAATTCGATGAGATTGTATACGGGTGCGTGTTGACGACAACATATAATTAGGACAATGTATGCTAAGGGTTTACGCAGCTTCATCAAAGTCGCAAATGAGACTATGGCGCGGCCCATCCGCGCGCTGACGGAAGCGAGGGGATACGCTCTTTCCAAACATATGTATGTGTTATCAAGCAGTCCGCAATTACTCGTTCTGATAGGGTTGAATATTGGCTAGCCTGGCAAGCTTCGGGGGCGCAGGCGGTCAACACGCCTGTGAGATAGCACAACTTTTGGGTATCAAGACCATCCTTATACATCGGTACAGCTCTATTCTGTCTGCGTATGGACTGGCTCTGGCAGACCGGTAAGCTTCCCCATTTATCTGGGCCTCAGAAGCTCGTCAAACTTCACAGTGTATTCGAGCTGCAGCAACCTTCATCAACGTTCTATACACCTGAGAATCACGGGTCTCTCGTCGCACGTCTGGATAAATTGGACGCAGACGTGCGCACCGAGCTGGCGCGGCAGGGCTTCGAGGGCGACCGCATACACACCGAACGCATGCTGAATATGCGTTTCGACGGTACAGACACGGCGCTGATGGTCCTGCCTGACCCTAAGGACGGTGACGGCAAGGAAGACTTCGAGGCGGCGTTCAACCGCGTGTATAAGGCAGAGTTTGGGTTTCTGTTGGAGACGAAGTCGATTATAGTGGATGACATCAAGGTAATCTTGTTGAATTAGTGTAGACTTTCATGCTCATATGGCCTGCTTGCTGCGTGCTAGGTTCGTGGAATAGGTAAGACGTTCGACACGCTCGGAGAATCCGTGTACTCCGAGGTCGCACGGATTGAACGGCGCGCGGTCAACGTACAGAAGGCAGACAAGACCTGGAGTGTGTACTTTGACCGTCTCGGGCGCGTGCGGGACACGCCAGTGTATCTGCTGCCGTCGCTGGTAGTCGGAGAAGTAATTGAAGGCCCGGCGATGATCATCGACAACACACAAACGATCGTGCTCATCCCAGGAGCTCAGGCGGTGCTGACGAGCAAGCACCTATACATTACACTTGAGTAGCGATGCGTGAGGTGCAGAAATATAGTAAATTGTAGACTATTGGCATCCTGCGAGAGTAGTTAGTTACCTGCGTATATGTAGACATAAAGCCTATGAAAGCGTGTTTCCACCACAGACATCTGTGGGACGCGTTCTACTCTCTTGGGAAGGCTGGCTTCCCGCTGCTCGCTGCATCTCTCTTCATTTGTCCTCGTAGCACGTCGAGTCCTGTTTCGGCGATGCTGACCCGCAATACTACAGCGGGGACATAGAGCACCATAACCTCACCTCATCTTCTGGCTTTTGATAATCTGGTGGCGCCAGTGATACAATTGGTAGCAAGACCGCCATCGCTGGCATTGTCATAGCGGCTTTCCTGCCTCGTTATGGTGACGATATCGATATGGGAGTATACCTCATGTTCGGGATGACATGGAATCATCGATCCTCATGTATGACACGACGGCCGCGCGATTAAAGACTTCTACGCTGCTACTGCTACCTTCCTTGGCGGATGGCACGTATGTCGTATTGAGACATACATTGATATTCTCCCATTCAAAATTGTGCCGACTGCTTGATTTATGTGGCAGAAGTCATTTATCAAATCTGAAGGTCTGGCTGAAACAAACCTTGGCAAAATTGTGCCATCATTATCATGTTTGCGTATAGAATCTCTTCAAAATCTTGGACGTTGAAGCCGGCTACATACATAATACTTCGCGCAAGATGTAAATGGCTTGTGGTAAGTATGTGACCGGTACTAATTGCTCTAACTCACGAATCACTCATTCACGGGATACTGAGACCTCATCGAGAACCTGCATATTCGTCATCTGAACTAATCTTCACACAAAATATCACAGACGGATGCGCAACACATCCAAAGACTACAACTGATCAAGAAAGGCACGGACTACCGCGCGGGCACGGCGGTACGGCAAGTCTCCATGATATTCGGACCTCTCCTCACGATGAGAGTTGGAGTGGTCCTCGTCTCCGTCGTCGCCATCGTAGGATCTCAGAAATCTTCCATGTCTATCCGGCTTAGGAACACCAGGGGAAGGTTTCCAATCGCTATAGGGAAAATGTCAATGCCAAACCTAAACGCATAGCAGACATTCTCACGAGTTCACCATAGACATCCGGCGGTCGGCTGGCTTGGCCTGCTCCGGCAGGATTTCAATGTATCCAGACGGCTTGACGTCTTGTATATACTGCAGTGGCATCGGACGTGAGCTAGACACAAACAAGTGAGATTCCCATTCAAACGTGCGAGTTTGAGTAGACCTACATTTAGTGTTTGGGTGGCGGTTTGCCCGACCCTTTGTTCCAATGTTCTGGGTTCGAACCATCGCCAAGCTTGGGCTTGCTCTGAAATAGACTGTAAAAGTTCTGATAAGGGCGTTGCTCAAACAGGTGAGGCAAAGAATAAATTTACCCTTGTCCCATTGCAGGGGCAGCAGCCAGCATTCCGATGGCAGTTATCGTTGCAACACGCATGGTGAGGTTTGAAGTGAGTCCGTGGTCGCAAATTGAGGTTTAAAGTGAGTCTGGTCGCAAATTGAGATCTGTGCATGTGCGTTTTACACGCGAGGACTCAGATAATTATCACACTTATGATAGATAACTACCCATACATTGCGATTGATTCATTTTCCTGTTCCACTGACATCGGTGCTTCAGGCTTTCGTCTCCTGAAGTACCACCGACTAAGAGTCGCTGTTCGGTGTCAAGCTACGTTGCGCGCGCGTGAACGATTGTTCGGCGCTGTTGAAAGAACTGGAATCGCTCTTCAATATCTGTTTCTAACCTCGCTGTTTGAATAGATGTCTTACTATTTATTGACTATGATAGAGCGGGTCGTAATCATTCATCATCGCTAGTACCTGGGCAAAGGAGTGTCTCCGACAGCGATGGTCGACCGAGTTCGCGATTCCAGCAGCCCCCGATCCCGGCCCGACGACCTGCTCCTCCTCCCAGAAATGCAAATATAAAACCTTTTTGGCCTCTTGAAAACCCTCTTCCTCCTACTTCGCCTGCTAAGGATATGAAGCGTCCCGGGTATCAACGAGCCTGTAGTTATATAACTGATCCGCACGGAGTTGATGATGATGAGCAATTCCGTCACCATCGCGACGATAAGCTCCACCAATGTGGGGAGGAGCATTTACGCAACCCACGGTAGGAACGAGATGTGGAATCATGCTTTGTTGATGCGCACTCTCCTTAACGCATTGGACTGAGAGGACCATAAGGGACTGCGACACTGGCGGATAATGCTAGCAGTAAGGGTTCGGTTAGTAAGAGATGAGTCCCTCAGAGAGGTGAGACTTGTCATTTGGTGAACGCGTGTTGGTGCGGTACAGGCGTGCCGGCCGACCAATTCTTATGAACCTAGTGAGCGTCGCTGGCGTCTGTCACTAGGCAATACCTCCGGGGTGACCGGCGAGACCTAAACACACCTGTGGCCCCAGCGATGGCTTGCTCTGTCGTAGCTGGAGACCGTTTATTTATTTTCAAGCTTGACTGCTAATTCTGACATACTGACATACTAAATCCCTTCTTTTGAACTGCCATTGACCAGGGTGTCGTCTTCGAGTGCGTGCTCGGATTTTACCTGACCTCTGGCCGTCAAGGAAGGCGCCGCCAAGAAAGAAAACAGAACCCACGGGGAATGAGGTTGGGAAGGACTCTGCCGTAGGCTTCCTGCCCATGCTCCTGTAGGTGATAGGACAGACTGACCACAACAGTGCCAATGGGTGAGGAAACGGAGGCCATCGCAGCTGCCGCTAATAAGGATCTGTGGGGGCGCGTGTCCCTCTTCGCAAAACCCTCGAACAGAAGTTACTATGCGTATGAAGTTCAAAGCAGCTGCCCCTAGTCAACCTGATACGAAACCTTCAACCCTAAATCACTAATTACATCACTGCTGTCCCATTTAACTCCGTTAGTTCTGCTCGGTTCGTTAATTCAGATGCAAACTTTGAAGCAGAATCATTATATAGCGTCTGCTTGCGATTCTAACTCATGCTGCAAGTAGATGTGAATATTTGAATCCAGTGTTGCTGACTAATTACTTACGGATATCGAGTTCGTGTCTGTTCGTGCCGGGCGACTTCGTACGCGCAATCCAGCGCAGCAACGGTACCATGACGCTGCCACTACGTAATCAACATATATTGCTCTTGTAGCCGAGTCGTCCCACACGCCAAATGTGCTTGCTAAAATATCTTTCGAAGATATCTAAAGGACCAAGGGAGGATGCAACTCAAGAGTAAGCTCCGACACCATTATGCGGCCAGTGGCTTGTCTGACACGATGATGACTCTTTATAACGGTGCGTTTATATTTTCGTTGTCGACGACCGTAATTCGATCCAGTGTCCTCTAGGATTTGATTTGTCCCTACTACCCATCACGACACATACCCGGCGATAGACCCCGCAAAAGCTAATCTAGAAGGCAAGGTCGTTCTCGTCACTGGCGCATCAAAAGGAATAGGAAAAGCCATCGTGTCCGGCCGTGTCCTCTCTCGCTCGGACATGAATGCTGTCAAAGCTGAGTATGAGGCTGCCAGGCGTCCCGGCTGGCCGCTGACGGCACTTGCAATCACCACGGACGCGAACGACGCCACAGGCATTGCAGACATTGTCGCGCTCACTTGCGCGACATTTGGCCGACTGGATGTCGTGGTGAACAATGCGGGATACATGGAGTCATTCCGCTCGATTGCCGAGTCTGACCCCGAGGAGTGGTGGAAAATCTGGACGGTGATCATGCGTGGGACCTACAAAGTAACACGGGGGTGCCTCCCGCTATTGCTCGAGCGTGGTGGGGACAGGACAATTAAAATGACGAGCATCGGCGGGCACGATGTCTCAGCGCAGGTCTCAGCATACAAACTGAGTGCGCGCATGCGGATGTCTGACGACGGACGGTGTCTGACCTTGGCTCTTGCAGACCACAAAGTTCGCAATCATGCCCTTTACGGAGCTCATAATGGCGGAGAATGCGGAGAAGGGAATCCTCGCATATCCCGTGCACCCTGGTGCCATTCCGATGGAAATGTCTGCGATAATGCCTCAAAAGATGATACATGTCCTAGTTGATACGCTTGAGGTTGCGTCGCATGCCATTGTGTGGGTCGTGGGCGAGCGGAAAACCGAGCTGTCTCATTGTGTTTAGTGTGTAAATAGCAGAGAACACACCAACTTACAATCGCTTCGAAACGAGGGGGCGAAGTGGCATTGTACTTGGTAGCAATTGAGTGAGATCGTATCAGATACGACTTCCTAACGAATTAATAATTGCTGTCTGCTCAAGTGTTAACAGTATACGGCTTGGATAGACATCTAATATAGGATGCCATTCCGCAAGATTCGACGAGAATCTGGACGCGAAGACGGAAGAAAAACGGGACGCGAGTTCACCGTGAGAAGTAATGCTGATTCATGGATCGAACTATCGTGATCTAAATACCTGGGGAAACACGTAGACAACGCACCTCATCATCAATCAAACCGCTTAATTCAATGCTCTTACCAACTTCTTGGCCACCTAGTGTACCACAGTTTTCGCCCCAACGCGCGCCCTGCACCTCAGGCCGCGTCCAATGTCTATACTTCGATATCGCACATGTAGTAATAGCACGAGTATCGTACTTTATGCCTACATAGGGCCAGGCCCCCGCGGACAATAAACGGGATCCAAAAAAAAAAACTGCTTAATGTCAGCAGAGTCTGGACCAATGAAACAGTGGTGTTAAGACACGCATTCCGTATCCCGCTGAGGGAATGATGTCGCTGTCGTCGACTCATACAACCGCTAAGATTACAAACGAAGCAAATGTTCACGGGTGAAACCTGGAGCCAAAGAACTCGTCAAGCAAGTTTTCTGTATTCATGGGATTACTTTGAAAACGGGGGTCACAGACCATTGGATTATCATATTAGCATATCTCGAAAATTGCAGGAGGCTTGTCGTCATCGTCGTCCTTGAGAGTCATTTCGGTGAAGGAGCAACAGCAAGTTGGTCGATTCTGAAGACAAAACCAGGGACTTGTAGCCTGTAGGTCGGTTATGAGGTTCCAGCAGGTCTCAACGCCGTACGACATGATGAGGAAAAGTCCCAAACGATTCAGCCGAGACCGTGACTCTAAACTTTGAAGTTTCTTTGCATAACCTGCATCATCCAGTAGCCCCTTTCTCTTCAGCTATGATAATACTAACTGACGAGCCACTCATTAGACTTAAAAATGCGTCTAAATCGATCCACACCTAATCGATCCACACCTATCATGTAGGTGCCGACCCTTACGGAAGAACTACTCAATGCTCTCTCGCGTCGCAAATCCCCTGTCCGTTCCCGCTCCCACTCCAGCCTTCGCGGAGGATCGGGGCGCGTGGATGGTGGTACATATTTGCGACTCGGTGCGTGCGCCAGCTCGCCATTATCGCATGCACCACCCTCCATGGCTATTGTTCGACTAATGCAAGTGCATGTCATCAATGTAAAATTGAGCCTCACTTGGAGAATCGTGAGCAGGCGAAGACAAGCGCACCAAGTGTGAGTCGAAGTTCTTTCATTGTACAGTGTACGAGAGCCATTTGATTCGGCGCAATGCACTTGTTGGCGGACTGTACTCAATGAATACTGCCAATCCGGTACGGTAGACCCGAATCGCTCGTTTCACACACTTCTCTAAATATCAATCCAATGCCAATGTGAAGCGTTTTTCAACGTTGTCGAACTACTAGGGAAGTTCAAAGTTGACGCAGCTGGGCTCGCAGAAAGTTCTGC